GATGTAGACCGAGACCATTAGGTCTCAGTCATAGGCCATGCGACCGCATGGTTAGTCACCACGACCGTTTTGATATCCAACCCAATTCTTTTTCCAACTATAAATGTTTTGTTGATTTTTGAACAATATCTTCAACAATCATTACTTTGGAGAGGAAGTACTCATGGGAACCGTAGTCAATGATGGATTTCTTGTTAGTCCGGATGACCATAACGACGATGTTGCTTGTGGAATCGAAGTTGTCCTCGTATCTAAGATCTTGACCAGGGTATTCCACTTCTTTGCCAGGGTTCCTCTTTGATGGAATTGGCTACTTTGATCTATGACACAGCGCAAGGAATCCACCAAATTATGAAGAAAATAAACTCACAAATTTTATTAATGAAAATATGATCAAAACAACGAAATAACCCCTTACTTATAAGGGTTATAAGGAAACCTAGTTTAAAATGACAACAATTAATGAAAACGAAGTTTAAACAAATTAAAATTGAAAATAATCCAAAATAAACTAAATGACAAAAATAGTGCTAAAACTTTAAAAATTAGTTTTCGAGTTTCTTTGTATGTTATCGCATAGCTATGAGTATTGCTATTTTTGTCGTTCTCTTTTCAAAATGGTCATATGTGCCTAAACCGAAATTCGAATGTTCTCTCTGTACTATTACCAGATTCTTCACAAGCTGCATCGGTCGATGAAACCTTAGATCTGATGGTAGCTGCCCCAATTAAAACAGCAAGAGCCAATCTTTGGGACATGATGTTTGTGCCATCTTCTACTCAAAGTGCAGCCTGATTCTGCGTACGCCAAATTAGTCGTGTTGGCTTGAGATAGCGGTTAGACGAAGAAGATGATCTATTTTGAGTAGAGTGTGATGTGCCTACATGGTGGTGCAAGAAGCATGCGGTTGAGGCCATTGATCCCTCTCACTCTCTCTCTCTCAAACGCACATGGACACTTGCTCCTTTTGCTTGCTTGTGTATGGACTTCGATGTGGGAAGAAAAATGGGGGGTTTTGGACTTTGATTGATGTTGGCACATTAGGATTTTTCGTAGAGAATAAGGTTGTAGTGGCTCTCAATGGTGACAAAGTGTTCATTTGCATAATCTTGCTCTTCCAAAATTTAGTGTGGTTTCCATGTCAATTGTCATATGAGCATAAGGGTCCCACCTTCTCAAACTTTCCTTTTGAAGATAAAACCATACATGTTAGAATAATACTATTTAATATCGGTAGTGCTAAATACCAATCTATACATCCACATGTAATATGTCCTAATAAATAAGTCATAAATCCTTGTATTCAATTGAACCTAATTTAATGGCACAAGTATTGTCACTTAGATTGATGTTAAATACCAACATGAAGAATTGTTGTTGTCATAAATGTGGTTATAATATAACTCTATCTATTTGCACGATTGCACATGGGTTTGTACGAAACAAGAGACTTTCCTACAAGTATTAAACTCAAGGTTTTTGTAAAAAAGATAAAAAATAAAAATAAAAATCTTAAGGTCCTGATTTGTGATAATCAAATTTTAAAACTCATGGTTTTGGATAATTTTCCACTTTCTTTAAGTTTAGGCAAACATGCTAAGTCTGTCGTATATTTATACTCATTTTGTTTTAAATATGAAATACTAGAAACTTTCATCGTGGTTTTTGACTAATACAACAGCAAATAATAGAATCGAGTGGATGCAAAAGGTGTTTCGTCGGACAAACCTTTTCAAACAATTAAGTGGGTCCCATTTAGTCTTGGGTTGATTATATATATTAGTTTGGAAAAATAGATTCTCTAAATACGACTAGGCATGGATAGCAGCCACCAATTACAATGTTATTTTTAGCCGCGAGTGTATTCAATTAAAAAAAATTTTAAAAACTTTTAAGTATTTAAAAAGTTTAAATATATTTAATTGAAACCTTTAAAGATTTTAAAAATTTTGATATATTCAATAAAGACTTTTATAAACTTTTTAAAAGTTTCGATATATTTAATTAAAAGTTTTTAGGAGTCTCTAAAAGCCTTGTAGTATTCAAAATTTTAATGACTTTTAAAAATTTTCATAAAAATCTGCAGGACACTATATTTAAAATAGAAAGTACAAAAACAAAATTTCGAAAGAAGTCTCCCATTCATCCCAAGATTTCAGGAAACTTCAATTTTTTTAATTTTTTTTAAATATGCTTTATGTCATGTAAATATTCTCTTTCTTCTTCCATTATTCGGACCTTGTAGTTATGATTGAAAGATTATTATTTTTTATTCCACCTGTTAATTATATTTGTTCTAATTTCATTTTTATATCTTTTTAATTGTTTCTCTTCAATCTTTAAAAAAAAAAAAATTGTAATTAAGTCCTTGTTTGAGCCCCTTTTTTCATCAAAATATATTCTTTAACAGTGATTTAATCTTATTTCAATCACATATTTTCAATAAAATAATATTACATGTAAATCTATAACTTATCTTTATTTTTAATCATACATTTTCAATTAATACACTATTCAAAAATGTATTTTTTTGACAAGAATGTGGCTCAAATAAGGGCTAAAAATTCTTGTAACAAATCTTTTGTCCAGTTTTTTGTGTAATTGATCGATTTTTTAATAAAATTTTCAACCATGCTACACTATCAGACCTGTAAGAGGTCTGGTAGTGCAACCCCTCTCACAGTTCAGGTGGGGTGTGTTTTTGGAGGGGTATTTTTTTTAATTATGGGGCCTGTCGAGGTGAGAGAAAATGGGAGAGGGGCTCCTATATCTGACATTTTATAAATCTGGTAGAGGAGCATTACTCTAAAATTTTATACTTAAAAAAAATGACTAATTTGTCATTAAATTTTAAATATATTACTTGAAACATTATGTAAATATTTTTTAATTATTTTAATTAAGGTGATTTACTTTTTTTTTCTTTTAGAAATATTTTTTTACTACATGGATGAACGGAATGGAAATCAATCCTCGACCTTTTATGTAAGAATCCATGTGATTTCTATTTTAAATGAAAGTTTTCAAAAGTCATTCGAATTTTAAAAAAGTCTATAAAAATTTTAAAAATAAAAGTTTATATAAATTCCACTAATTCCATACAAATTTATAAAAACTCATAAGATTCACAAAAGTCACCACTTAAAAATAAGTCTTTAGAAGTCTCAATCAAATATAACCCTTTTTAGAGTTAAGTTTAAGAAACTTTACTTTTATTCTAAGCATAACCAAATATGCTCTAAACCTTTTTCATTTTTTGAAAAATATGTTCTTTAGTAGTTAATGCTATTTTTGTGCTTTATTATAATTTTTTTCTTATATAAATTCAAAGAGCCGAACATTTATTTTAACCACACATTCTTAACTATTTTTCACTTTAAAAATTATTCACTTATTATATAACTCACCTTCATTAAACCATCCTTATTTTTTTTCCAAACAAACGCATTAATTACTACCAATTTGCTCATTGGTGATGTCGTTATCACGGCGTCGTTTAGCTTCTCCCGATAAAAGTGGGGCATCTTATCCTCCTCCCGCATTAATTACTATCATTTTGCTCATTCTTTCGTGTTTAAATTGTGCGTATTCAATTTTTTTTTTTAATTAATTGTACATGTTCAATTCTAGTACAGTGATCATAGAGTCTGTTTGATTGCAAGAATGAAATTTGAATAGAAAGAAACAAATTTTAGGAAATTGAATTGTTTAGAACTTATTTTTCTAGGAATTGTCAATTAAATGTTTTTTATCAGTATAATTTTTCACCTGAAAAATGTTAAAATTTTGGATTTTTTAAGGTTCGTTTGACTTTGTTTTTTGTGAAAATTGTCAATTAAAAGAATATAATTTTTTACAATTGTGAATAAAACTTGAGGACATAGCTGAAAATAAAAGAAAAAATTAAAAAAAAGGTCCACCAACTCATGGAAAATGCACGTGTGGGGNAAAAAAAAAAAAAAAACCACCCCCACAAAAGGGGGGGGGGGGGGGGGGGGGGGGGGGGGGGGGATGGAAATGGAATTTCCTAAAAAATATTGCAAACAAACAGGCCCTTTTGTGAAAAATGAAAAATGTTTTCCATAAAAAATGTGACCAATCAAACAGCCCTTAGTAGAAAATCAAATTAGTTATGTTCATTAATTAGTATCCGGACATGATATTCCATTGTTTGTTTATTTTCCAAATAAACATTCACATTAATCATTGAATCATGCTATAAGTACAAAATTTTTTAACAAAAAAATTTTACAGACAATACATGGTGGAACATCATTAGAAGATGGGAAAAAAAGAAGAAGAACGATCCACTTACATTTTGTCACGTTAGTGTCGGTACAAATTCTATTAAATTTTTCTTGTACTTATAGTTTTATTGTTAATCATTTGTTATTTTTATTATTACTAGTCATTGACACGTGCGTTGCATAAATTTTATATTTATTATGTTTTTATTAGTGTAGAAATTGTAGATGTTAAAAAAAAAGTTGAAAAAGGAATATTCAAGAGTCTTGAGAGCATATTATTTCCTCGCTACTGCTCTATCCAACAAGGTGATCATTTCAAAAGTTGATATTACTGCACAAAGAAACTCACCAAAAAATAAACTTAAAGACATCATGTGTATGTAGAACATGACAATAAATGATAATAGAAACATTTGACATAGATAAAGATTGCAAGTTTACATGAGTGAGAAATATTTGATCCACTAAATAATAAAGCATACATCAAAAAATTAAAATGGATTGCAAACAAGTTGTAAAAAGATACGATGCAGTATTTACAAAATAAAACCAACGAGCCAGTATGTTGAGACAATAAATAATTTTTGCACTATCACTTCTACTTCTTCTCTTGGTTGTTTATAAATAACAGGATCTGAATATACAATAATTATTGGAACAATTGCATTAAATCAAATTAATTATTAGAACGAAGGATTAAGAGAGAAAATATAAGTAAAGCACATACCTAACCCACCAAAAAATGTAAAACATATCCAAATAATTCTTTCTAGTTGGCAAAAAACACATCCAAAAATAAAGTATCCACCTGTATTTTGTACCATCATCCAAAATATCTATCACCCCTCAATTCTTAGAAACTGGACAAATGCCATTGAAGAATGAAACAAATTAAACGTTAACAAATAGACAAATTCAATTTCCTTGGAAGTGAATGAATCAAACAACTAAATGCTTGATCATTTAATGGTTCCAGCACAATGCATGTGAGGTTTCTCTAAAAGTTCCAGCCATATATGATAAATAAAACCTATGATCTCCATAGGTGTACAACGAGCCCTTCTTCAAGCAACATCCATTATTTCAGCACAATCCAGAAAGCCTTAATATGTATTGAAGATCAATAGAAAAGATTTTTAAGGGAAACAAGGGCCACTGCAATATAAAGAAAACTATGTATGAGGCCATACTAGTTTGCTTATAATTTCAAACTCAACTTGCTTATAAGTCAACATGGAATCGCCCTACATCACCCGTATAGAACCTCCTCATTCCTTTCTCATCAACCTAAGCATCATCAGATTAACAAAGTAAATACTTTTAAGCTGAAGTAAAGAGCACATTTGGCTAGCTTAAAATAAATAAAAGTTACTTTCAATTTCCAAACATATATGGATAAATCACATTTTTCTTACATTTAAGTTAAAAAATGTTATTTATGTTTTGAAAGTAACAATTGTTTTACTAACAAACTAAGTAGCTTCTACTTATTTCCAATTCTAATCAATAAAAAGTTACTTGTTTAACAATAAGTAAACTTTCTAGGCATAGCCAAACAATGCTCTTTGACAATGTGAGATTAAAAAAAAAAAAAAAAAAAAAAAAAAAAGGAAAGGCACAAAATTTGAAAATTACTTACATTGTACACTTCCTTTGATTTCTCGTCATTTTGAAATATCCAAGGGTAACATTTTGTTCACCGATAACTATTTCTCCATGCGGCATTGGAGAATCGCTAATTAAGTATCTGCCCTATGGCTAATCTATCAATTGAAATTTAGAGATAAAATTATAAGTAATACATTTTTTCCGGGATGTTTTAAAATAAAGAATTAATATAAGCAATCCAACACTCCAAAATAGAGATTATGTTTTTCATACATGAAGAAGAAATACACATACTACAAACACATGTGATACTTTGAAGTGAAATACAACTGTGTACATTTTACTGTGATGAATGAGCAAGGTAGGGGAGGGCCAACTCGACCAACGGACGTATCACCATATTCATAAAATGTTCCACCAGAAAAGGTTTCAGTAAGACCATAACCTTGACCTATTGGAGCATTGAAAATAATGAACAATTAAGGGTTACAAGATTGAGTTCAAAAGAAGAATGAAGGCACAGCACAAGACAGGGAAAATTAAGAACCTCCTATATAGAGTATCACAGTACGGCACAAAATTGTAGTGTGGCAAACTAATTCTACGGTATAGAGAACGATATGGTGCTTTGTGTTTGAATGGATTCAGTCAAGGAAAGGAGAAAGACATTTTAATCACTTCACTTTAGCTCAAACTTAAAGGGTGTGTTTCGTACAAGTTGTTTGACAAAATTGGACAATATAGTGAACAAGAAGTCTATACAATCCTTCCTAACAAACATTCCAAAAAATTTTAAAGCGACATTGATACTAAACTTATACATAACAACTATAATTGATAAATAAAAAATAAAAGAGGTAATTGAATATAAATATCCAAATTGTGAGAAATATACCCAAAACAAGAGAATTATATCAGCACCTTTTATGATTGCTTTGGTTTCTATGGATTTTTTATTCAAATAATTTACGCCTGAAAGTAGAAATCTAAAAGGTTTATCATTTCATTTCCAAAATTATTTACTAATAGCAAAGCAGCACCTCAACAGACCCCAAAAAAAATGGAAAAAGAAAAAAAAGACAAAAAATAAGGTGTTTTTGTTTTAGCCATAGGCAATACCTATTAACCTACAAGCTCTAAATCAAAACTACTTGCACCGTTCATATAGCTCAAATGGGCATACCAAACATACCCACACAAATTCGTATAATCATACAATTTTTTTTATTTTCACTCAATTGGTTTACAGTGGATGCAATTATTTACCTAACAAACAACACCTCTTGTTCAAATGCAAAGTTATCCAGCTGGAAAATTGACACGTGCGCCTCATACATACCTTGAGATCATGGTTGTATTTTCTATATTTACAGAGTTTACGAATGCAACCATCGAGTTCGAATATATCATCTTTACTACTGTTCCTTTTTTGCGAACCAAAGCCGACAATCTCCAGTACAATCCGCCTTTCCTTCCACCAAAGGTCATGCAGACGAACGTGCCGAAATGGAAACAGACCAGTTAGGGTCAACCTTATTAGCTTCTTCTTCATAAACTTCCAAATTGCTAAGATATAAGCCCATGAAAGGACATGCACTGGAAAATGGAAATACAATTTTATATCAATAGAAATCCCAAAATGTTCTTCGAGATGAAGACAAAAAGCAATTAAATCTTACAGAGGGTACATAAGTGGATGATCTGCTTGGGTTTCAAGCCTCAAGATGCCGTTTCAATTCTTCCAGGCTAGCATGAACCTCATTCGTAGCCCGTAGCTCCATTGGGTAGATTTTGGCGTGCTCACGATCCAAAGCGGAGAGTTTTGTAAGCCAAAAATCAAAAATCAAAATCAAAAAACATAACAAAAATTCCAATCCATCAAAAAAATCATAACACAGATGTATGATAATAGAAAGGCTTGAAAAGAAAGGGAGAATAGTGAGAAATTTGTGTGGATGAGAAGAAACAGAAAATATGGATTTGAAGATGCGTGGCCGGGTAGCGTAAGAAAATAGAGAGAGTCAGAGAGAGTGTCTTTTTGTCAGATTGCAATATATTGAGAGAGAAGATTGAAACGACTTTAACCCAAATGACGTCGTCTTCACACAAATGAAGGTAAAACATCGTCGTTTCCTTCTCATACAGAAAAAATGAAAAATAGGAAAAGAATACGAAAAAAAGGGAAAAATGACAAAAAAAAATGAAAGGGGATTTGATCACTATTGTATCTACTGCAACTCTCCATTGCATTTTTTATAAAGTAGGGACAAGGATTTTGCTTGATGTACATAATTTTTGTACATCAAGGTGTCCATGCCTCTCACATGGGGTGGGGTTCACACTTTTGTAGGTCCCACCCCATGTGAGAGGCATGGATACCCTTATGGACAAAAATTATATACATTTAGAATTTTCCGTAGGGACAATGTACGCTTCAAATAAAAATTACACGTATATTAGAAAAAAATAAGAAATTTAATGAAATAAACTCCAAATTCATGTTGGTTAAGCAATGCAATAGGGTTTCAAAAGATGATTCTCCAAGCCAACGTTTGAAAAAATTTAAACACAATTTAATTTATAGTAAATAAACATAAGTGATGGTTCTTGTGAGATTAAAAATGATATCTACTTACAACTTATATATAAATTTTGCCAAACAAAGGAAGTTGACAATAGAAATATTCTTTATAATGTAAAATCTATCTCAAGAGATTTTTAAAACAATAATTATATTTTCATTCATCCTTCGTTAAAAAGTACAATTGATGAGTAAGTCACAAAGAAGTCAAAACTCTCAAACAGTTATTGTTGACCTCCAAAAATGTCGTCAACAGATCTTCGACCTTGTTCCCTCCAAACCTGCACACGGAACACCCCGTTAGAAAGCAAAGGCCATAGGTCCAGAAAAATGTCTGACGATCGTTTGCACTCCAACGGTCAAGTCAACGATCGGATGAAAAGAAAATAAAGAGTACAAGTGTCAGGAAAGGGAAATTGGCGAGAGTTAGAGAACTTACCTCATTTGTGAAATGAATAACATATATATATATATAATGTAATGGGCCATGTGAGGCTTAAGGCTAATGGGCCAAGTCCAAGCCCAATCCCAATCCAATAGAAAGGCGCAATATGAATTATTTTATAGGTATAACAATAGTCCTCTCAAGTCTGAGTCGTACATTCATGTGTGGGTTGGATTTCGAAATATAAAGAATTGCCTTGAGAATATTACCAGCTCCAATAAGTGAGGAATTATGAATTGCCTTAAAAAATATTTGCGTGAGCCTGAATAAGTGAGGGCTTACGAATTGCCTCGAAAGATGTTGCATATTATTTTTCGAAATTTCGATAGCATTTCCTCTGTAATATAAACTAAACCAACTTGCAATTCAATATAATGTCTCAACTGCACATATATAAAATAAATTGGATCCATTTTCCCCATAACAGGTCATACGCTTGACGATGGTGTAGATAATGTGACATGCATACTAGTGCTAGTAAAAAGTGTCATGGGTCATGAGACATTCTAGCAGTGATGTGACACACATACTTAGCAGCAATAATATCATGCATATGTTAGCATATGAATTAGTAATAATGTAATGACATTGAGATACTAGTATCACAACAGTCCCACAAGGGCGAGTCAAATATTTATATGTAAGTCGGACTTGACATATAAGCCACTGTGATGAAGTTGATGCAAAGATGAGATTGTAGATATAAGCAGTTGAAGCGATGTTCTGGACATAAGTTGCAAAGGCATCCTGGTATTACCACTGTCGACTGACTTGATCGTTAGAGTGTATGTTAAAGCTTTTAAGTAGATATCTCTTGTCAACCAAGGTGCTAACCCACAAGGGATGACACACAGGAGTTAGCAAAAACTTTGATAAGTTGATTGACAACTCTTAACCGAGGTGCTGATCCACAAGGGACGACGTACAGGAGTTAGCAGAAGCTTTGATAAGATGATTAGCTACTCTTAACCGAGGTGCTGATCTACAGGAGACGACGTACGACAGTTACCAAAAGCTTTGATAAGCTACTTGATGACTTGCGTAGAAGCCTTATAGAGTTGTTGATGGGCTCATCTCGATCAAGTCATTGACCCACAGGGAACCATGCGTCGGGATGTAGAAGCTTTGTAAAGCTGATGGCCTCATCTCGATTGAGGTGTTGACCCACAAGGACAACACGTAGGAGATAGCTGGAAGCTTTCTAAAGCTTTTACTATGCTCGAACGAGGTGCTGATCCATAGGAGACGATGCGTCGGGATATAGAAGCTTTGTAAAGCTGGTGGGTTCATCTCAACTGAGGCATTGACCCACAGGGATAAAGCGCGGAAGATGGTTGGAAGATTTGTAAAACTTTTGCTACGCTCGATCGAGACACTGACCCATAGGAGACGACTCATCGGGATGTAGAAGCTTTGTAAAGCTGATGGGCTTATCTCGATCGAGGCGCTAACCCATACGGACGACGCGCGGGAGATGGATGGAAGCTTTGTGAAGTTTTTGCTACACTCGATCGAGGCGTTGACCCACATGGAACGACGCGTTGGGATGTAGAAGCTTTGTAAAGCTGATGGGCTCATCTCGATCGAGGCGCTGACCCACAAGGGACGATGTGCGGGAGATGGCTAAAAGCTTTGATAAGCTGTGGATAGCATCTGATAAGGCGGGGGATAGTCATCCCGTGAATTACTATCGAACTATCGAAGCTTCATAAGCTGGCCTCAGATAAACTAGGACTTAGAGTTAAGCTCGATGATAGTGAGACGGGGAATAAGCATCTCGCCAATAACTCTCAAACTATCAGAGTATTAGTCAATTGTCTCGAAATGAAGAGGACTTGGAGTCGACGGTAGCAAGATACAAGGATAAGTCATCACGCGAAGCCAAGGATAATCATCTGGTGAAGCAGGGAATAAGCATCCTGCAAATAACTCGAACTATCAGAGTCTTAGTGACTAGCCTCGGAATGACGAGAACTTAGAACCATGCTCAACAATAGTGAGCGAGGAATAGTCTCACCAAGCTAGGGATAAGCATCTGGCGAAGCGGGGAATAGACGTCCCGCAAATAGCTATTGAACTATCGGAGTCTTAGTGTCTGGCCTCGGAATGAAGAGGACTTAGAGCCAAGCTCTACGATAGTGAGCGAGGAATAGTCTCGTTGAGCCAGGGATAAGCATCTGGCGAAGCGGGGAATAGACGTTTCGCAAATAGCTGTTGAACTATCGAAGTCTTAGTGATTGGCCTCAGAATGACGAGGACTAAGAGCTAAGCTCAACGATAGTGAGCGAGGAATAGTCTCGCCGAGCTAGGGATAATCATCTGGCAAAGTGGGGAATAGACATTCTGCAAATAGCTCTTGAATATCGGAGTCTTATAAGCGTCTCGAATAGACGAAGTCTTACAGCTAGGCTCGACGATAGTGAGGGGAGAGGAATGAACATCTCGTGAGGCTAAGAATAAACATTGTCGAGGCGGTGAATAACATCCCGCGAGGCGAGAAATAAACATCTCGCATGGCCATGAATATACATTTAGCGAGGCATGGAATAAACATCTCACAAGGTGAGGAATAAACATCTTGCGAGGCCAAGAATAAGCATCTGACGAAGCGGGGAATGAACATCTTGCGAAGCGAAGAATAAGCATCTCGCGAGGCTGGAAATAAGCAAATGGCAAGATAGGGAATGAACATCCCCGAGGCGAGGAATAAACATCTCACGAAGCTGGGAATAAGTATTTGGAAAGGCGGGGAGTAAATATCCCGCGAGACAAGGAATAAATATCTCACGAGGCCAGGAATAAGCATCTGGCAAGGCAGGGAATGAACATCCCTCGAAGCGAGGAATAAGCATCTCATGGGGCCAAGAATAAGCATTTGACGAAGCAGAGAATAAACATCTCGCAAGACCAAAAATAAGCATCTGGCGAGGCGGGGAATAAACATCCCGCGAGGCGAGGAATAAACATATCTCATGGCCATTAATAGACATCTGGCGAGTGCGGGGAATAAACATCTCGCAATGCAATGAATAAACATCTTGTGAGGCCAGAAATAAGCATCTGGCGAGGCGAGGAATGAACATCCCACGGAGCAAGGAATAAGCATCTGACGCGACGGGGAATAAACATTTCACAAGTAAGGCCATTAAAGACTCCTTTTTCAAAGGCAGACACGTCTGGCAATTAGTCTCTTCCTTTATTCAAGGAATGAGGGTTCTAAAATAACACATCTGATAATAAAAAGTTCACGAGCTAGGCTTACTTTCAATAAATAAGAAAGCCACGAGCTAGGATTTGCCTTCAATTATAAGAATAGGCATTTGGTGTACATAGTCATAATTTTGTATTTTCTAGCCAAGTTGTAGTCTATAGCATCAAGAAATCAATAAAAAAGGCAAATTCTCTTCAATTTTTTTTTCATGCGTGGTGCTGACTGAATTACCAATGCTGGTAGATGTAGTGGAAAAGATCTCTCAGCAACTCCCACATTAAAAGCTTGAACCATTAGATTACAAACAAGAGCAACTAAATCAGAGAGATACATAGAACTTGCAGTTTTCAACCTTAGAAGATGCATCATCTTGGAGCTTCCCAAGTTGTGCTTCTTCCATTGCTTATTCTAGGTGTTTGAGTAATTTGTTAAAATTATTGTTGCGATCATTAATTTTTGAAGTGGCCAAGTTCCAAGAGTTCCAGGCTTTACCTGAGGAGATTCTTTCACCTTTAATGGTTCATGTATGTTGTGGGTGCAAAAATTGTTTTTCAACTACCACCTTTGTGGTTTACCTTACTACTGAGATGATGCAAAGAGTAGCTTATCTCCTTTGTATTCAGGACATTGATTTTAAGAGCATTAGAACTTCCATGACAACTATGGCTAACAACAACTCGATGAAAGCCAATAGAAGCACTAGAATGCCATACCTCAGCATTACTAATAATTTTAGAAAATGCCCCTCGAGTAAATAGCAAAAAAGGGCCAAATTATGAAGCCAAATCATAGATGACCAGGTTGGAATAAAGAATAA